GGCCAGTGGCCCTTCATTCGGTGCGGAATGGGCTGGAGTAATTTTAGTTATTGAAGGGTTCAGGAGTAGGAGGAACATCTGGCTGTTTTCTTGGCCACATTTCCTTTCAAGTTTGTAATTTCCCCTCCTAATAAGCATTGCAGAACCACAATGTCTGTCTATTGTGTGGCCTTTCAAACAGCTTTTCTGCTTAAATGTTGTTGCTGCCTTAGGGATTGGACAGAAACTGATTAGGGTCCCAAATAAAGGTGGAGTCAGGGTGGACATTGGCAACAGGGAGAAGAGGTGACTCACTCACGCTCTGAAGTGGACACTGGAGTTCATTTTGTGAGTGTGCCTGGGGACCACCAGCACCAGCCATACTACCCACTGTCATCAAGCAGAGACAGCACGTCATCACTGAGAAACTGGTCCCTGAGAATGCATTGTGTGGCCACAGAGCTGTGGAAGTCAGAATGTGTGGGTAAGATGGAAATGCAGGGGAGCGTGATGTATAAAGGTATTTTGGTTTCTGGTGTCATCTAAGCCTGCCTGTTGTGAGTTAACAAGAGTCTGTAGATTTGTGGAAAAATCCAAAGGGCAGACAGAGTTTTAAGACTGGGAGGCTAGTAAACAGAGGAGATCATTCCTGAGTTCCTGTGGCCCAGAAAATGGGAATGTGATTCCCATTCTGGAGTCACATTCTTTTAGCGCATTGCTGGTGCAGCCCCTGTGATGCCACTTCTTGATGCCACCCCACTGTGCGCATACTGTGGGCTCATAGAGAGAGAGCAAGAAAGCATGAGAGTCTGAGGACAGTTCTGGAGCCTTTGATGGTGCTGGAGGCCTGCCCTCGTGGTTCTGGGCACATTGTGGCTCCTTCTGCAGTTCAGGTCTTGACTCTGCCGTCTGACTCTTCCCTTGAGCAGGAAGGCTAGTTCGGCAACTCCCTCGGAGTGCTTTTCAGCCTCAGCCCATGGTCCCTGTTAACAACCAAGCTCAAGCTGAAATTCTGAAAGTTTATGTCAAATAAAAAATTAATTATTGTCTGTTTTTTTCAAACTACAAATGCCGTCCTTCCAGAATTCTGACACCCTGCTTATCCCTTTGCCTAGAGGAACTTGGCCGTCCCAAAGGAGCTCTGTTCTTGCCACAGTTGTTGGTTGGAGGCAGTGGTCTTAAGAATAGCTGCTGACTGCCTTGAACTGCGTGTGCTTCCTCCCTCTTGTAGCTTCATTCCCGACAGTGACCCTGATACCTGACCTCCTTGTGGGATGCCATTGCAGTTCATCTTGTTTCTAATTACTTAGTGGAATTGTATTAGGGGATCAGAAGTGTGCTGCCTCCACTTAATATTTCATCCATTCTTATTTTTTGAAGAGGTGTTCCCAGTAGTAGAATTTAAACTCTGTGAAGACAGGAATTTTGGTGTAGTTAGTTCACTGCTGCATCCCTGGTTAATTGTGGAACAAGGGACAGTACAAAAACTCATTCATGGGCAAAGCACCTATTTAAGTTGCCAAAACATTGGACATTATGTTTAATAACATTAAAAATATTTGCTTAAGGGTATGTAGTGAAAGGAAAGATCTGATTCCTTTTGATTTATAAATTGTTCAGTAGAAGTTCATTTGCAGATGTTCTTAGGTTATCTTATGTACATATCTCTCATCGGCGTGACAGTGTCACGTGGTACCATGGCCACACCTTGGCGGCCCCTGTGTGGTCCTGGGAACCTGCCAGGGGTGGTGTTTGAATGCTGCGTGCTGTGTTTATGAAATGAACGACATTGAGTTCTTTAGGCATGAGGCATATGCAGCATTCTCTTTACTCTGTTTTCAGCAAGTTGACTTTCAAATCTGAAAAAATGGAATTACTTGGTTGGAACATTCTGGGATTAAAGCAAAGCGGTGCTAATGGATTGATCTACCAGGTATTTGGCCCCATTAACCCTGGCGAGCTCACCCCAGATCAATGCACAGCTGTTCTTTCTTCAGGACTTGCAACTTGGGTGTGAATTGCTTCTAACAGGACAGTATGAACAGATCAGGAATCACTGTTGGCTGCTCCCTGGAGCCTGGAGAGGCCAGCAGCTGCTTTCCCGACCAAGCAGGGGGTTAGATTTGGTTGTGTTCACGTCACTGGGCACCCAGACAAGCAACAGTTCTCAGACTGTTCGGTCTCAGGACCCCCTCATGTTCGTAGTCTACTGAGGGCTCCCAGAGCTTTGGCTGAAGTGGGTTGTATGTATCAATGTTTATCACATTACAAATATTCATGTATTGATCCATTTAAAAATAGCATCAATAAACCATTTCATGTTAACATAACATTTTAATGAAAAGAAATATTTTCCAAAACCTAAAAATATTTAATTAGGAGCATTGCCGTCTTACATATTTGCAAATCTCTTTAATGTTTAGCTTAGTAGAAGGCAATTGGATTCTTATGTCTGCTTGTGCATCAGCTTTTATTTAATTTTATGGGTTTTAGAAGAAAGGGAGGAAGGGGAGAGAGAGAGAGAAACATGATTTGTTGTTTTACATATGAATTCGTTCATTGGTTGATTCCTGTATGTGCCCTGACCGAGGACTCAACCTGCAACCTTAGCGTATGGGGGTGATGTTCTAACCAGCTGAGCTACCCAGCCGGGGCATGTCAGTCAGTTATGATGTGTTGTTTTAGTTGTCGAGTGTAAAGAAAAGATAGCCTCTGGGATGTCCCTGGAAGGGAGAAGTACTTCAGTAGCCTTTCCAGATAATCGTGGACATTTTCTTTTGATACTACACGGAAACTCACAGGTGGTGGTGGGTTCCTCTGTGGAGCCTGAACCACATCAGTGAGCTTTTGTGCTGAATACTGCACAGATCTGTTCTGCCTTTTGAGCCAGTCCGTCACCAGGCGGGTATGACCCCTGTTACTGCACTACTGCCTCAGCTGAATTATGCAGATCTGGCATGTAGACACATTTAATCATGTAATATTTTTCTAAAAATCACAATTGTCAGTATCACCACCAATGACATGAGAAACCCCTTTAAGTTTTGGGAAGGTGTTGAGGTCTTGGCGATAGATGCAAGTTTTCTAAAGTTCTGGGGTATTTTTTTTGTTTTGTTTTGTTTGCTTGAAAGCTCTAATTTTGTCATCGGCAACAAAGGCTGCCAGTTGTTTGCCCTCTAGGTTCTGCTGCTCTCACTCCCAAGTTTTCTTCCCAAGGTGCAGGTGCAGTCGTGGCTCGTGGCTCAGACACAAGGACTTCAGTGACCTCGTCCGCAGCCCCAGTGCTCTGACAGTTTCCAGGCTTGTTTCTACATTTTTTAAGTGGCTTAAAACAATGCAAACTTGTTACCTTACAGTTCTGGAGGTCGGAGTCTGAACTAGGTCTCATGGGGCTCCGATGGAGGTGTTGGCAGGGATGCATTTCTCTAAGGCCCTTGAGGGAGAATCTGGTTCCAGGAGCTCGCGAGCAGGTGATCAATGAGAAAAGTGTATGTTTCTGTAAAGATAAGGCAAATATGGAAAAGTGTCAAATATCGGGAAATGTAGATGAAGAGTATGCAAATACTCATTTAACTTTTATGTAGGGTTAGGCACTTTCAAAGTAGAAAGTGGAAAGCCCTGGTTGGCATAACTCAGTGGATTGAGCATGGGCTGCGAACCAGTGTCGCAGGTTCAATTCCCAGTCAGGGTACATGCCTGGGTTGCAGGCCATGACCCCCAGCAACCGCACATTGATGTTTCTCTCTCTCTGTCTTTCTCCCTCCCTTCCCTCTCTAAAAATAAATAAATAAAATTAAAAAAAAAAAGAAAGCAGAGAAGATGAAATATCACGGGGGAATGAATGCATGGGCAGTGTAGGCTGGAATTGGGTTTCCATTGTTGAAGAGATGAAATGCCATCGACTGCATCTTTGTTGTATTTCTGGCATAGTGACAATCCTCCGTGGGCTCACATTAGTTACAAATCATATTCAGGAAGCTCAATTAAACCTCCCCAGCTCTTGGGTCACTGCGTATGTGCAAAGTAGAAAGGATAAGATTGAGAAAGCAGAGGACTTTCTGTGCCACTGAGAGGTCTTTCCTAGCACGCCCTCAGGGAAGTGTGACCTCGCTGCCTTCAGACTGTGGCACCCCCAGTCACTGACCCCATTCCTTATGGGACTGCAGGCCGCTCCACCAGGTGCATCAACAGTGCACACCCTACACTGACTGCAGTTGGGCCTGTCTGTGTGTCTGCTCAGTGCCCGTGTGTCAGCCGGTACAGGAGGTTCCCTCATGAAATGATTGACTGTACAGATTGGAGTGCGACTATTTCCTGAAGGAACCAGCTAAGGCACAGGTGGCAAATACAAGGCCTGCAGGCCGATTCCCGTCCTCCACCTTGTTTTATCCGACCTGGCACCTTGTTTCTACCCGGCAGTAGCACCGAGCTCTCACTTAACTGGTTAAGGAGTAGTTACATTTGTACAGTCCTAAATTACATTCGGCCCTTTGAAGGCAACCGCGAGGCTGATGTGGCCCCTGTGAAAATGAGTTTAACACCCTTGACAAGGTTTTCTGCCCTCCCTGACTTCAGTTCTCAATACCAATGTCAGGAAAAGGTTCACTTCCCTTCCTGGTCCCTAGCGAGGGCCTCAGGTTCTTGGGTACCACCTCTATGCCCTAGGTTTGTGGAAATGGCTTATGAGTGTGACAATAGCATCTTTATTCAAAATATGGCCTTCTTTTTGTAGAAGTGATGTGGTAGGATCGCTGGGTCTGAGGCCATCTCGTCCTGTTTCCTGTCTTCTTCTGAATTCCCTTGCTGATGCCCCTGCCTGGTGGTGCTCAGCCCTGTGTCTGCTCAGTCCCTGTTACATGGCCCCTGCCTCCCTGCGTCCATCTGGTTCTCCACTGGTGTTACAGCTGGGATGTCCTTCCTGGTGCCAAGCCAAAATGGAGTCATTCCTCTTGTGACAACCAAGGCACGGAGATTCTGGGGCCAAAACAGATTGTGTCTGATGTCTCTTCTTGGCCTTGCAGGAGCCTGAAGCCCCCAGCTTATCCTTCCTGAGACGTCTTTGCTCCAAGACCCAGACAATTGTCGGGGAACAAGGTGACAAGTCCTTGGATCACATTCCAGGTACAGTCTGCCCATCAGCAACTGAGTAGTGTGGTTATCACTTTTGTGCTACAATGTATTATTCACTTAGACCTTTAGTCAGTTGTTGACTTGTCAAGTGAACTAACAACCAAAATCCTTAGTTGTCATTGTTTTAAAATTTATGGCTGCTGTGCTTTTTAAAAATCATCTAGCACTTTTGGCTCTGGCCAAGTAGCTCAGTCGTTTAGAGCACTGTCCTGATACACTAAGGTTGTGGGTTCAATCCCCAGCTAGGGCACATACAGGAATCAACCAATGAGTGCATGGATAAATGGAACAACAAATCAGTCTCTCTCTCTCTCAAATCAATAAATAAAATTTAAAAAAAAGAATCATCTAGTACTTCCATCTCATCAGAAAGCAGGTTTTACCCTTTCACAGTGGTGGGTTTCTTAAGTTCCTACATTTTGTTCAAGCAGAACTCTTAATACCTACAGATGGTAAGGCCTTTTACACAAAGGCCAGGGCCAGCAGACACCAGGTGCTGTGTTGTCAGCAGCATGTGGAGGGGCCTGTGCTCTGTGCACCAGCTGCTGGCTACTCCATGGTGGTGTGCACAGCGTGCCAGTGATGCATTGGGCTGCATTTCTGCCTTTGACCATGGGAGACTTTGCATTTCTTAAGGTCAAGGGCAAGCTCCGATTTCTTTGCTATTCTCAGACTTTTCCTCTTGTTCCTATTCCTCTCCTTCTTCTATTTTTCACTCTTTTACTTAAGCATTCTTCTGTAGTTTGTTCTGTGGTTTAGGTGCTATAAGGATCAGTGTGTGTCAGGTGGGTCACAGGAGCCAGGCAGGATGGTCAAGGCTAGCCTGCGAGGCTCAGCATGTGCATCTCTCGTACAGTTAAGAGTAGCTCGTTTTATTAGACTCTTATTTTGGGGTTTGGCATGGGACATAGTGAGGGAAAAAGTGTTCTGCTATTGAAATACTTGAAAGCTTTTTTTGTTATTATTCCATTTTTTAAAAATGGGTTTACCACATAGAGACTTCATCATTGTCACTATTTTATTCCTCACAAAAAATGGAGGTCATGTTTTCAAGTGTGTGTGTGTGTGTGTGTGCTTGTATAAAGAATGTCACCTGCCTTTTATCCTCCTCTCACATTCTTACATTCCTCGGGCCATGTATAGTCTTAATCCCAAACGTGTAGCTATATTAAGAATGCCCACATGATCAGGGATCAGGAGCCCACACAGACTCCTTCATCAGAGGGACTTTGTGGGGATCTGGCCATTGCCTTTTGCCACATGTCAGCATCTCCCTGCAGCTGCCTTGAATAGAAGGAAGGAGGAGGGGCTCCCAGAGCTCCTAGTTCTCAGGGGGATTATGGCTGTAAGTAAGCACCTTATTTTTGAGGCTGTTGCACCCTCATACATGTCAGAAGCAACCTTGTAAATACTAGGTGCACTTCTGCAAAGACAGTAAAATTAGATCCTTGCCAGCAGGGAAAGGGGAGGAGGGTATTCCGTGGAGTGCCAGAAGCCACTGTAAGCCTCGAATACTTTTTTCCTTTTCCTTCTCAGAAGTTATTGAGTAAAAGTGCTTAAATCAGGGTGAGCTCATTCTGCATTCTTCCTCCTCTTGCTGCAGTGGTCGATGTGTTTCTGCTGTTGTAACAGACTGTTGTAGAACCTCTTTCTCTGTTCCCTAGTACGGGGCATGGCGGGGGCGAGGGTTTGCACCTGAGTGAGAGGCCTGAGTCAGGCTGTCTGCATCTTGGGGTGGACAGTGCTGGGACAAAATGTGTGGTGAAGCCCTCGACCATCCTTAGGTGTTTGGGCACAGGTCCTGAGCCATGGCTGAGTCAGAGGAAGGCACAGTCTGTCTACTGGACACCACCATGATATGTCCTTCTCGGGTGAAGACACACAGACCAGAGATGGTGACAGAGATGGTGCATCTCTGGGAGGCTTTGCTGTCTCTGCCACACCTGTTTGCACTCTGTGATTGATCATGTTGTCTCCTTCTTCAAGAGGGTAGGGGGCGCTGTTCCACTCCTGCCTGTGGTGGGTGCAAGACAGTATTTGCTGTAGGATGGGTGGTTGTTTGTGTCTTCCTGTGCAGCTTCTGAACACCCTGAGAGCAGGGACAGTACAGGAGAGTGGCACAGGGTAGACACACAGTTTTCAGAAAATGAAATAATAGTTATTTAATATATGCCATTTTTCCAGAAGGAGGGAACTACTTTCAAGTCATTCAGCCTTAACCAAGAAAAAAAAATAATTTCAGGTGAAGTAAAGATTAGTTCAGCTACCAAAGCAGAGAGCGTTGAAACCTTGAAGGTTTAAAGAGAGAATGAATGCAGACTCATGATCTCCTAGTCAGAACTCATCTTAAACTTGGCAGCAATGACAACACACATCTGTCTTCTTGCAGCTCCTCTGGTCAGAGCATGGTGCAGTGGTGCTATGCTGAGTTCCCCGTGGTCGCCCTCAGGAGCTGACTGGGGCTGGGCTCTCAGGTAGAGGCTCGGCTCAGGTAGAAACTGCTTCTATGCTCCTTCAGGTTATTAGCCAGGGGTGTTTCCTGTGGTTGTAGGGTTTAGGGCCCTGGCCTCCTGCTGGCTGACCTGGAGGCCACCTACATGGCCTTTTACTTCATTGAGCCGGCAAGGAGAGTCAGCCTGCAGCATGCAGCCTCACATAATGTCACATAGTCACAGGAGAGACATTATACGTCTGCCATATTCCGTTGATTAGGAGGAAGTCCCAGTCCCCACCCACACTCATAGGAACACTAGAGGTGGGGTTTATGGGGCCACCTTAGAGGGTCCACCAAGGTCACCTTTCTTGGTTCCTTGAGAGGAGGGATTGAAAAGTGGTTCCCACCTGCTATTCATGTTTAAATCTATTAAAAGATCACAACTCTCCAGGATCCATTTATCCTTCCTGCAACATGGAGGCATTCTTGCCCTTGGACCCGCAGGGTAGTGCATGGTCCCAGAGTGCTCCCTTCTGCTTGGGGACACTGGGGGTTAAACTGCTTTTTGTGAGCTGCCTTAGCACCCAGTGGTGGCTTCATTGGGTTGTTTGTGTAGGGAAATGTGGCCTGAGTCTAAGGTGACTGACATCAGGGAACTTCCCCACAAGAAGAGATGCCCTCACAGTGGTTTTCTGTGGCAATGGGCTGTGTAGAGAACATTTTAGGGGTGTAAATTGCAGTGTCTATTTTTAGCCTTTAAAAATTAATGAAAAGCAGCAGAAGCCTGTGCTGTGTCTCCTGATTCACAAAAGACATGGAGCGGTAACGCAGTAACCAGAGGAGAGGGAATTTCAGTGAACCACAGTCTGGATAACTGAGGGTAGGCATATTGAGATCTGGGGGGTCAAGTGAAAGAACATTCTGGGCTGATAGTCTGTGGTTGGCTATTGCACTGGAGCCTTCTATGAAAGCCGAGCACATGACACACTCCCTGTGATGTATGTGCCAGCAGAGTCCATGTGATGTGCAGAAAGGGCTCCTTCACACCTAACGCCATGGCCTGGCTCTCTGGTCTAGTGGAAGTAACTACATTTGTTCATCTCTGGCTTCAGCCCCACCCTCTGGTGCAGTCCTCTCCTGGGCTGTGATTGCTCTGGAACTCACAGGCCCTCCTGTATTTGGCCATTTGTTTCTGATGCCTCAACCTAATTCCAGACAAATGGAGCCCCATTCTACTCTCTGATAGAGACTTTTCTGTGACCGCCTACCAGGATGTTTTCTCCAAGTATATTACTTAAGATGCAATCTCAAAGCAGAGAAACATGGCAGGCAGGTAGTTGTTGGACTGAGCACAGGGAAGGTGGTGAACCATAGCAGGAGGCTGTGATGTTGCTTTCTGTCCTCAAAGCTTTTCTTGGGGTGTCTGAAATTTTGGCCACCTGTGAAGTATGGTTGCAAATAAGACAGTAAGACCTCTAATAAAATGTGGCATTGAGGGCTTAGGGGTGGTATGTGCATGGCATACAACACGGAGATAATTCCCATGGTAACCACAGGGGTGTGCCTTATTTGTGTCTCAGGGCTTTTTGAGGAAAACACAGGGATAGGGAACAAGTGGCAGGTGACTGTGAAAGGTGGTAGTGTTGGCTTGTGCAAAATATGCTTTATTAGTTGGATTGAAATACCGTTCTCAAAGGTGAGCCTTCTGATTTGTGGTCCCGTAAAACAAGGCTGCCCACCAGCCCTGGCAGTTCTGGCGTCACTCCCTTCTCCAGTCTGTCCTTCACAATGAGACCAAAGTAATCCTCTCAATATTATTGAGTTGGCCAAAAAGTGTGTTTAGTTTTTCCATAAAATAAAAGGAATGTTTTTCATTTTCATCAGTAACTTGATTGATTTGGATATTTTGAGTATGTCAGGCATCTCCCGCTATTGGCATCTAGTGGGTAAAGGCGAGGGGTGCTGCTAAACATCTTCCAATGCAGAAGACAGCTGCACAGCAAAGGATTATATGGCCAGAATGTCAGTAGTACCAAGAAACTTCACAAACCACGCTGACATGTTCAATCAGTCACAGCACCGTTTCCACACACTGCACAAATTCTTTTTTGCGTTCCAGTTGCATTTTTACCTTTGTTGAAATATTAAAGCATAATATGCCAAAAATGTTGCATGTTTTTCCATCCTTAGTATTAAAATGGCTTCACAAAAATTCACCAATTTTGATAAGTCTTTTTTTAATGCACAGTGATATGGCAGCTGTCATAATAAAATCTAACAAAATTGTTTTTAATGAAGTTCAAGACAACTAAGCACTGCTAAAGCCATTGTATGGAAAAAAACAAATGAAATTTATGGCCGACCCTTCTCTGCCCTTCTCTGCTTCAAAATTTTATATCTGAGCAAAATGTAAATCACTCATCTGGCCATTCAAGACTCTCCTGCTCCTCCCCGCACACCTACGCTCCAGCCTCACCTGGTACTGTCTGATGGGTGGCACCTGTGGCTTGGCTGTTCTTTATTCCCCCCATTGCCCCTTAGGGTATGTTGTGCTGAA